TTTTGAGCCAGTGTCTTGTTTTTCTGACCAGGCTAGTCTCAAACTCCTAGACTTAAGGGACCTTCCTGCCTCAGCCTCCTAAGTGCTGGGATTACAGGCACACACCACCATACCTGGCTTGCAACAGGTTTTCTTACCCTATTCCCCCTCCTTGGTAAAATGGTAAGCTGCTGACCACAGCTAATCTACACAGACTATTTCCGACCTTAACAGAGAAACTGCCATTCTGATAACTATCATGGCAAGAGATATCTTAGATGAGTCATATTTCTTGCTTAGGAAAGGAGGTAACTTGGTTTCCCCAAATAGAAGTTCTCTTCAACACTGGATTTACTACCCCTGATTTTCTGTTTTTCTTTTTATGAAGAAAATCATTCTCAACCTTTCTCTAGTTCTTCTGATCAATAAGCTACATAAGTTATAAAATTTGCATGTTATTGTTTCCATAGCAACTCAAAAGGATCAGATGCCTTTATCCTCTGAAAGAAAATGCTTTCTTCTTTTAAAAGAATCACATTCTCCTATACCATAAAAAATCCAAATCTACCAGAATATAAAATCTAGAAACATAAAAGACAACAGAAAATCCACAAACAGAGATAAAGTAGTTTTTACCCAGTGATTTTTATTATTCAGGTTGGTTTTCATAAAAGCTTGATGCTAAGATAGTAAATCATTGTAGACTAACTTACCAATAGCCTTTGTATAATGCCTTGCACCCAGCAAAAGTTCTGGAGCCCGATACCAAAATGTTACAACTACTGGATCCAAATCTGCTAGGGGCTTTAGAGGAGAATTGAATAATCTGGCAAAACCCATGTCAGCTAAAAAACAAAAAATAAATATAAAACTCAGTTTGACATACAATTAGAATCATCCAAAGGAGATAAAAATAGTCACTAACCTTTTAAAAGCAATACTTTTCCTTTGGGGAAAAAAAATCAGCTATACCAAGCATTGTGTAGGCATTACTTCATTTATCTCATCAGCGCCTCCTAAGGTAGATCCTACTATTGTACCTGTTTTACTGAGGAGGAAACTGAGGTTCTCAAAAGTACACTGACTTGCTCAAGATTCAGTGATAGTAGGTTCAGTCAGGTTTAGAATATGGGTCAGACTTCAGATTCCTTTCAGAGACAGTTATAGTAGTATTTTCATGTTTTAACATCTAAAATTAGTTTTTAAAACCTTCTATAATTAATATGACTTCTGTATATCATGTACACCTATGAACTAACCACATCTCAGCGTGGCCATGAGCTGGTGCCAGGTCCTACAAACTCACCAGAGCTGATTCACACACCTCACTGATTCTGCCTCAGAATCAGTGTGCTGACCGCACACTGGTAACCTGGAATTGGCTATGGTGAGTGTATTTACATCATGGTAAACAACAAATGCCACAAATTGGAACTCTCCCCCAAGAGGGTTATTACTGAAAGGTAACTAGCACATCACACATATTTCCAAGAACATGCATAGGACACATAAAGAAGTTGTTTAATTCAGAACTTAATAAAGATCTAAACCAAAAGTAATTGATTTAAACATGGGGGTGTATAAAACTAGTAAGAAAAATGTTTAAACTATAATAAGGCTTCCAAACCAATTTTTTGAGATTTAATAAACTGTAAAGCACTCCACAGTGTACAAAATGCCTTTCATATATATCATAAATCATTTCATTTCATCTTTTCAAAAACACAAGTTAAGTAAGCATTTTGTTCCCCATTTACTAGATGAAGTACCTAAGGTCTAAAGCAGTTAAATGGCCTGCCCCTGCTCACAGGGACAGTAAGTCACGATGTCAGTACTCAAACAAGAACCACGCTATTACTTAGGACTTCAGCCTTAACCTCTTAACAACTGATCTGACATCCAATAAATTATACATATGATAAATGCAAGCCACAAAGGCAAAGTTACAAAAATAACAAACCTCTATAGTTTGAAATATATAACATATACAGTACATTCTGAATATATGAGGCCCCAAAGTACAATAAAAGGTATACAATTTAAGACCTTCAACTAGAGCATCATCTAATCAAAAACTAATGCAATATGATATAAAATGCATTACAATTTTAATTTATTGAGATTTATTTTTTTAAGAGTTTAAATAATTTAAGAAGACTTTCTGAGAATGCTTTGAAGTATCTAGGTCTTAAAAAACAAAGCTATCCAAGGAGGTCTGTGCCTATTTAAATTAAAGTTCCCTAAAGCAAACAAAAACATTCAATCATTTTACCAATATTATAGCTGCTATTCTAAAATATTACACAATATTCAAAGCACTGTCGTGTATATTTAATAGGTACTTATTATTGTTGATGTCAAACTATGCTATCAAATATATGAAAGTAATTATATATATTACTTTATACATAAATTATAATTATAATAATTATATATTATAATACAATAAATTACATATATTACGATAAATCTGGTTAAATAATCAGATGCTGATTATTGTTGATGGCAAAGTATGATGGAATGCTGTTTCATCCATGGGGGGATTTTTTTTCCCTCTGTCAAGCATACTGGGAAGCAATTTTATTTATTTTTATTACTACTTAATGATTACATTTATCAGGGAGAGTCAGCACATGTGCATAACAATGTCAATTCTTTTTACTCCCTCCACCATTTTGCTTTTCTCAGTAGTATATAGTCTAGTCTGGCCTTGCACTTGCTATGTAGCCCACTGGGCCTGAACTTAACATCCTCCTGCCTCAGCCTCCTGAGTGCTGGGATTAAAAGCAAAAAGCATTTTGTTTGTTTGTTTTTGGTACCAGGGATCAAATAATCTCCAGCCCAACAAAAAGCATTTTAAAAAGGCTAAATTCAGTAATCTCTCCTCTTATTCTCTACCTTCTTTCTTTTAAGTCTCATCTATTCATTGCCAGATGAAATTAAGGCCAGAAGAAAACAATACTCTTAAAAACAATTCATGTCCATCGTATGAACTTTAAAATTAGATATAGCTGGAATTATTCAGTTAAACAGGGGTGGCAGAATTCTGGTGTGGGTGTTAATTAGACAGTATGAAACAAAACAAAAGCAGTAACACACAAGGTCTACCACCCAAGGAACTTAACAAAATACATGGAATAAATCCAACATAACACAGAGATAAGTACTGTGAGAATAAGGGATCTGCTACTGTTTTCTACTAAATGCTAAATTCCTGGGGGGGCGGGGGTTATGTCTTTTCCAAGGTGTTATCTAGAATGATTTTGTTTTTGTTTTTGTTGAGGAAGGGTCTCCCTTTGTAGTTGAGGCTGGCCTTGAACTCACCATGTAGCCCAGGCTGGCCTCGAACTCACTGAGATCCTCCTCCCTCAGGCTCCCAAGTGCTGGGATCACAGGCATGTGCCACCATGCCCGGCTGCAACACTTGCGGAAGTAGACTAAACTAAACAGAAACAAAGCTTTTGTACATGGGGAGGGGAGGGAGCTTAAGGGTGGGAATAGGATAAAATAAAATTTATTTTAAAAAGAAAATAAAAACAGCTTCACTGAGATGTAATTCATTCATTAAAAAGAAAAGAAAAGAAAAGAAAGTGGACCTTGAGCTGGATCCTGAGGGGTTACTATTTATAAATGGTAAAAAAGGGAGTAAGCATTTTAGGTAAGGCCTGGAAAGTCTTTGGTTTGCTGAGGAGGGAAAGGCTCAGATACAGAAAAGGGTACTGTGTGTTTTCCATTTAATTATGTAATTCTTCTGAGCCAAAGTAGAACTATATTAAAGCATTAAGCATAGGCATCAGCATTACTGACTTTTATTTACTAATTGTGCGGTGCTGGGGATCAAATAAATCCAGGGCTTTAAACATACTAGGCAAGCATTCTACCACTGAGCTATCTCCTCTGCTGCCACATCATTTTTCTTTTATTTGTGGGGTTTTTGTTTTGTTTCGTTTTTAAAGACAGCATCTCGCTATATTGTTCAGGCTGGCCAGATCCCCCAGCCTCAACCACTCAAGTGCTGGGATTACACTAATGCACCACCATGCCTGTCCCCCACATCATTTTTTAAAAATCAGTAATTCTGGGGCTATGGATGTAGCTCAGTGGTAAAGCTCTCATCTAGTAAATGTGGAGCCCTGGGTCACCCCAGCACTGCAAAAAATAGTAATTTAACATGTGCCATTAAAACAAAATTTATCAGCATTTAATCAACTCCTAGATTGATCATAAACCTTTATAATTAATTTATTATTAATTATTACTCATTTTAAACCCTGGGTGTGTCCCTAATCTTGGGTGGAATTACAATCCTAAAACTCTTAACAATAAGGTAACTGGCCTGACCAGGGCATAGAATTTTATATTGAGGAGTACTAAAGACTAGAAGGCTTTAGATTGGGGTGACTGATATGAATGTACTGAGTGGTACAAATAAGAAATATAAGATGATGATGAATTTGGTTTGGGACCAAGGAGAATAGGTTGCCAGGAGGACGCAAAGAATTCAGCTAAAGTGAGAGACTAGAAGATCCAGATCTTAGAATCATTTTCAAAGAATTCAAAATTTTGAAGCCACAATTTATCAACTGCCTAATGAAGTAATAACTGTAAAGGGAAGCTATGTCCCAAGCTAGTGTGTAGAGTGTTTTGAAACAATAGGTGAATAGGAGTAAGAGGAAATAATAAATAAAATGCAGAAGTGACAGCAAAAGTTGTAGGTAGAAAACCAGAATTATATGATGTCATACAGGACCACGGGAGAAGACAGTCTACTAGATTTGATAAGACAGAGATCATACTTGTTCTTTTAGAGAGTGGTGTTGATACAGAGATGGAATTAGACACTGGATTTTAATAAATCAGGGTAAGTGGAATCACAGGGTGAACATCAAGAGTATTTCAGAAGTATAGAACAAAAGGAAGAAAACAAATGTCGAAGAAAACAAGATGGATATAAGATTTATTTTAAATTGGGAAGAGAAATATGAATATTTAAAAGAAAGAGGAGAGGGCCGGGGATTTAGCTCAGTGGTTCCACCACCTGCCTCGCAAGCGCAAGGTCCTGAGTTCGATTCCCAGTACCAAAAAGTAAAAATAAAAATAAATAAAACAAAGAGGAGAAACCTGAGAAGGGAAAAATGGAAATATCGTAGTGGGGGGAAATTAGGGCAGGAAGACATTTCGAAGCTAATAAGGGTACCAGTAGGTAGGACTTAGGAAGGGAAAAGTTGCTCTCTGAAGCTCTTTCAAAGGCAGAGCTGTGTTGACAGAGTGAAGGTTTGTGAAGCCACACCAGTCCTCTCTGATATCACTAAAGTGCCCTTATTTGTAGGGTCTCTTAGGACTAGGAATCCAAATCCCAGCTTTCAAAAACTGAGCAAACTACAACCTCTCTAAATCCAGCTTTCCATATCTATGATATCTACCTTTAAAGGGTGATTATGTAAAATAAAGAGGTATGAAACCATCTACTGCACTGTTTACATTTTACTGTGTCTTAAAGAGGGGGGATATTCCTCTTTTTCACTTGTGCTTGGCATAAAGTATCTACTCAATAAGTATCTGTAAGAAAAAGAATTTTGAGTATAAAATAAAATAGGAACAAGTAAGGGGTGGCAGAGAAAGGAGGGGAAGAGAAGAGAAGGAAACCAGCTACCAGGTACTTAATTAACATCATCATTTTGGTTTTTGGTTTTTTGAGACAGCGTCTTGCTATGTAGCTCAGGCTGGCTTCAAACTCATAGCGATCCTCTTGCCTCACTCAATCTCCTGAGTGCTGGGATCACAGGCATGTGCATGCCTGGCTTAATATCACATTTTTGAATGAGGCTCAATCTTAGCAAACTCAGAGTAGAGATTCAATGAAGGGAAAGTTGGTTTAGTACAGCTTTTTCAGAAATTGGGCTAAGGAAGTAAATGAAGAAGTAAAAACCCAAGCAATAGGACATGCTCGGTTGAATTAGGAAAGCATGAATTTATACTAGATCAAGTCAGCAAATCATCTCTATCATAGTGTATTTTAATAGTGAAGAAAGGCCAATGATTTTATTTTTAAATCCTTCTAATAAACCACTGATAAGTCAATAAATATAACTTCCTCTCTCCTTCTCCTTCCCTCTTTTTCTTTTTTTTTTTTTGGTACCGGGGATCGAACTCTGGTCCTTGTGCTTGTGCAGCAGGTGGTGAAACCACTGAGCTAAATCCCCAGCCCCTTCTGATTGTTTTCTGAGACAGACTGTCACTGTATACTCCAGGATGGCCTTGAACTTGCAATTTTCCTGCCTTCACCTCCTCAGTAGTAGTATTACAGGTGTGCAACACCATGTCTGGTTCAATTAATGCAATTTCTACTAAAAGAAGGTAGAATAAAACACTACTTAGCTCGTTTTCTCTCCAGATATAAATGGAGTTCTTTCGGAATGTCCAGAGTTGCAAAGCAAATCTCAATACAGATAAAAGACTCCTGCAGTGTCTTAAACTAAGACAGGCAAATAAGAGAGGCTATAAAGAGAGGCTATATATAGTCATTCGGAAAGGGTATGTTAGTACCTGGTATAGGACATGTAGGTCAGGGGTAGTGAAGTGGGTGGAACCTCTAAAGGTTCCTATGTACTGTCAGGTCAGGGTCAGAAGGATATGTTCAGGGAGAGAACATCTGGTAATGCTAAGATAAAAAATAAGATTTAGGTAACTATACTTAGGATGACTATGTAGGACAATGTTGCTGGGCTTGGGCTACGGCACAGTAGTGAATGTTTTTGTGGACTTGCTTGTCAATTCCAAGGGATGCCTCAACTTAGACAACTACAGAATCTAATTTTGGGGAAAAGGCTACAGGTTTTATACACTATCTACCTTCCTTTTCCAACAACTTTTCCAAAAAATTATGAGAAAGTAATTTTAAAATTAACTACTTAAATAAGAGTATTAACAAGGGCAACCACCTCTGCAGTCACTTTAGTTTCTTAATAAATTATTTTAGGAATAATTACCTACCAATTTTGACTCTCCCTCTCTCAGGACCTTCTCCCATTACTAGGATATTTGCTGGTTTCTAGAAATAAAAATAGAGCATTCAAATTACTATGCTTACTCTTGTGACATGCTCTAAAGTGGAAAAACTTATAATATGCAAATTTCATTTCTGTATTTTCATCAAAACTAAAGATATTATGCACTCTCTCTACATAAAGCATTTAACACTCTTGAGGTTTATATAATCATCCTTGCCACGAATACATAGCTTATTTTCAAAATTATGTATAACATACAAATAATTACAAATTAGTTATTTCTATTCACTCCACAGAAAAAACTAATAATAATGGTTAAATCTGTACAAATTATATACTTAATGCTCATAACAAAGTTTATGTGGTTGAAAATTTTTATATAAAATTTTAATCTACAACATAATTGCCATTACTTAATCATATGAAATAGTCTTTGCTAAATATTTCTAAACTAATATAGGAAAGAAAACATGCTCAATATTCATCAGACTCCATTATAATTCATATGTCAACTATTGTACATGCAAAAATGAAAAAATTCAAACATAACTTCAAGATGTAGGAAAACAAAAACCAAGACTAATACAAAGCTATGTAAAGAAAAGGAGTACGCTACAATGTATCTACCATCTTTAATAGATACCCTCATCTGTAGATATTTGGAAATGAAACTGTGAAGATAGGCTTGGTGGTAGGAAGACACAAATAAGACTCCTTTATAAACTCTTTGAAGAAAAACTTGTATGTTTTTAATGTATAGGAGTCATTTATTCAATCAATGAATATATTTTTTAGTATCTTCTTGAGTCAAGGAATCATACTTAGGATTGTGAGGAAAAACAAAAGCATAGTAAATCAATCTCCTATCTGCTGGATGCTCACTATATTATATATACAAGCTTTACATAATATTAGAAGCTAGCATTATGTATGAGATAATAGAAAGGGCCAAGTCTCCAGAGATTAAACTGGATTACTTTTAAGATACTTTCCAATTTGCTGATTTATTTATTTTTTATTTTTTTGAGACAGGGTCTTACTATGTAGTTCAGGCTGGCCCTGAACTCACTATGCAGCCTAGGCTGGCCTCGAACTCATGGCCTCAGCTTCCAGGGTTCCAATTTGCTGATTTTAAAAAACATCTCAACAAAAACAAACACTAAGAAATAGTTGGAAGAAGTGATTAATTAACTAGACATTTCATTGTTAAGGGAAATGTTCATGAAGTGAGGGTGAGGAGAGCGTCTATTAGCCAAATCCTGGAAACTGAACAGGAACCAGTGTAGCAAAGTAGAGGCACTGCTCTGCAAGGGCAGGGGCACTGCAGAAGGGAAAAAGGCTATGAACAGGCATGCTCAGGACGTAGTAAGAAGTCTGAATAGAAAGAAGATGGATCATGTTGGGGTAGTAGGATGAATCTAGACTCCAGATAGTCTTAAATGCAAGGTGAAATAACCTGACCCTTATAGTACAGGCAGTGTGATTACATGACAGGGGAGGTAATGAGACTGGGCATGAAATGATAATGAAATAGAGAGAGGTAGGGAGCTGAAAAACATTTTAGAGGAGAAAATTTACAAGACTTTGTAACTGGCTGAAGTCAAAAGATTAAGAAAAAAGAATGATCAAGATTTCACCAAGGGCAGGGCATGGTGGGACACGCTTGTAATCCTAGCACTCTAGGAGGTTGAGGCAGGAAGAGCACAAATTTGAGCCCAGCCTGGGCAACCCAGCAAGATCCTGTCTTCAATGGGGCGGGGGGGAGGGGAGGGAGAAAGAGGTGGCTGGGAGACATAGCTCAGTGTGGAGGCCCTGGGTTCAATCCTCAACGCGGAAAAGAAAAGGTACCTTAAGGAACCTTAGCCTTACAGAATAACTATATGCTACTGTACATAAAGAATTTATCCAAAGCATCCCTGATCTCACAAGGGTCAGGGACATTTAACAAAAACCTTCATTCCTGCTTGAAATAATCTATCCTTGTGGCTACAGTGTTAAGGAAAGACAAAATGGGTCCAAACGCTAATGCCAATCACACAAGTCAGTAGGAATACTGAATCCTTGGTCACTGGGAAAGGTGAGAAAGCTAACACTGCTTCCTCCACAGACACCAAGACCTTTAAGAGGGCTAAAACTACATACCACAGTAGAAACAAATCAAACTGGAGAAAAATCTTTGAGGTGAATAATGAATTTTCTAGCAAAAACGCAGATATTTCCATAGAAGATTAAAAACAAAATTCATTTATATGCTATTGACAAGAGGCCACCTAAACACAAGGACCATAAAAACTAGAAGCTTGGCTTGGGATTTAGCTCAGTGGTGCCGCCACCTGCCTCACAAGCACAAGCACAAGGTCCTGAATTCAATCCCTGGTACCAAAACAAAAAAACAAAACAAAACAAAAAAACCAAGAAGTTAAAAAATACATTAGAGGCAAACTGTTAAAGGAAAACAGAATCAACTATAGAAATGAGATAAAATAGCTTTGAAAATAAAAGTATTAGGACCACAAAAGGTCACTGTATAATGATTCAAGTTTCAATCAAAAAAAGACAATAATCCTTAACTTGTTATACACTTTATATACATAAAAAGCCTAACTAGATACATAACTTCAGGGATGAAAAAGAACAATGATAGCATACTTTTCTCAATTACTGATATGTCAGGAAGACAAGATTAGTAAAAATGTAGACTATCCAAAGAATACAATTAACAAGGATGAGCAAATGGACGTATACACAACTTTTTACCTAATAATTACAGAATATACATTTTTCTCAGGCATACACAGACTATTTATAAAAGTTAATCTTGTACTAACAGGTCTCAAGAAATTTCAAGGAACTGTTACTACACAGATTATGTTCTCTGACTATAATACTATCAAGTTAAAAGTCAATTACCAAAGTAAAAATGTAAAACTTCATCTATTTGGTAATTAAAAAATACTTTTAAAGCACTCAGCGGTAAAAGGAGAAACGATAAAGAAACTAAAAATACTCATGACTAAAATGAGTACTATCAAAACCTGTGAAATGAAATACTTATAAAACAAAATTCATAGCCTTAAATATTTGTTAAGAAAAAAGAATAGAAATAATGATAACAAACAAACAAAAAATAACAAACAAACAAAAAAAAGATAAACACAAGGGAAGAAATTTATGCACCAGAGAGGTTTTATGGAGCTTTTAGGACAACTAAGCAAGATTAAAAAAAGTACAAATAAAACTACATTATACATGACAAAAAGAAGCACAACTACAGATACAGTGGAGGACAGAAAGATAAAGAATCCTATGAAGAACTTTGTATCTATTAATATGAAAAAAGTATACAACTGGACAAAGTCAAGAAAATGTAATCTAAACACTGATTCAAAATTAATTAGAAAATCTGAAGAAACTAAGAAGTGCTAAATAAATTGAAACTATAGCTAAAACTCTTCCTACTGAGAAAACACCAATCCTAGATAATCTTGGAGGCAAGTTTTCCAAATTTCCAAAAACAGAATATTTTCAGAGAACAGAAACAGGTAATACCCCAAACACACTCTAGGAGGTTAGTTTAATGTTGACAGCAAAACCAAATAAAGCATGAAAAAGAAAATTTTCAAGCCAGCCTCACTCTTAAGCACAGATGCAAAAATACTAAACAAAATATTAGTAAACCAAATCCAGGAACAGGAATGCCAAAATGGCCTACTGTGAGAAAATCCATACTAGTCAATCATCATATTACCAGACAAAGGAAGAAAATCATATATTAATTTTGGTAGTTGTTGAAAAAGCAGGTAAAATTTAATATCCATTCACAATAAACATTCTCAGCAAGTTAGACCAGAAAAAAACTGATAAAGAGAATATACCAAAAACTACAAAGGAAACATTGGAAGCCCACTCCTCCCCCTCACCTTTCTGTAGGGATACAACCCAGGGCCTATGCACTGAGTTATATATATCCCCATCACTTTCTCATTTCTTATTTTGAAAAAGTGGTGCTAACTCACTAAACTGCTCAGGCTGGGTTTGAACTTCCAATCCTATCTCAATCTCCCAAAGTGTTGGGATAACAGGCATGTGCCAACATGCCTTGCAAGTATTCCCTTTTAAATCAAGATAATTACAAAGTTGCCCACAATCATTACTTCTAAAGTCAACTTGTACTGTAAATCCAGTGCTATAAAAAAAATAATTAAAGAAACATGCATTAGAAAGGTAGAAGTAAAACAACTGTTATTTGCAGATAATATAACTGTAATTGTCTACACAGAAAAACTCAAGTATTTAGGATAACATATTAGCAATACTAAGAGGTATTAGAGGATTTAGCATGATGTCTCGCTAACTGAATAATGTTTAAAAAAGTCAATGTAATTCTATATACCAGCAAAAAAAAGTTAGGAAGTATAATTTCTTCCTTCTTCCCACCTTTCCTTTGCAATATTGGGAATTAAATCCAAGGCCTCGACCTTTAAATTTTTTTTTTATTTTAGACCTCACTAAGTTGCTCAGGTTGTTCTGGAATTTGTAATCCTGCTTCAGCCCCCCAAGTAGCTGGGATTACAGGCATGTGCTACCATGTCAAGTGAAATATAATTTTTCAAAGCCAATACATCTGTAGCAAAACCCAGACAATGTCTAGGAATAAGTATATTAAAGGATGTACACAATTTGTATAAAGAACACCATGAAAACTTATTTCAAGTGACATTAAGAAGTCCTGCCAGGTGTAGTGGCAAATGCCTATAATCCCAGCACCCAGGGGGTGAGGAAGAAAAATGGCTGCAAGTTCAAGGCCAGCCTGAACAGCACAGTGAGACTATGGAAAGTTCTATGTGCTCATGTGTAGCTTGAAAGGCTGACTGTATAATACATGTGGAAGAACAAAGACCATGAAGAACAGTAAACTGGAGTGCAGCGGTGAGAATAGGAATCTGGCTCAAAACAAGGTATCAAGACTTATTTTAGAGTTATGATAACACTGTGCTAGAGGGACAGGAAAACACTGATCAATGAGACAGAGCAGACAATC